TCCCCTGAACCTTGCGGGGCCTCCTTGGCATTCCTGGGGGGGCCTCCTTGGGCCAGGGGGGCACCACTGGCAGCACCCGAAAGCCCCCCCGGCCTCGCTGGGCCCCGCGAGCGCCTCCGCGTCGAGGGGCGAGAGCGCCGCCGGCGCGCCGCGGCGGGCGACGCCGCTGGCCGGCGGCGCGTCGCCGCCCTCCTTTCCCCAGGGGGGGGGGGAGGCAGGAGGCAGGAGGAGAGGGAGGAGGCAGGCGGCAGGCGGCAGGAGGCAGGAGGAGGAGGAGGAGGAGGAGGAAAAGGAGGAGGAGGAGGCGGCGGCAGGAGGAAGAGGCAGGAGGACGTGGAGGAGGCTGCAGGAGGAGGAGGCAGAAGCAGGAGGGAGGCAAGAGGAGGAGGAGGAGGAGGAGGAGGAGGAGGAGGAGGAGGAGGAGGAGGACGCAGGAGGAGGAGGAGGAGGAGGAGGCAGGAGGAGCTGAACAGCTTTTGTCCGCCCCACGCGACAAGGCAGCAGCAGGAGGTAGGAGGTAGGTGGGGGTAGGAGCAAGAGCAGGAGATAGAAAGCAGGAAGCAGGAGGCAAGAGGGGAAGGAGGAGGAAGAGGAGGAACAATAGGAGAGGGGACAACGGGGGAGAGGAGAAGCAGGGATGAGGGTGCTGCAGGATGGTGGTAGAAGAAAACGAGAACGGATGGTGAGGACAGGGCGGCCCAAATCTCGGGCGACGATATCAAAGTTTACATACACACGTATATCAGTGCACACTTCCGCATCGATGTGCGCATGCAGGTGTAAACATGTGCATGTGTGTGAATAGGTGTGTACCTAGATATGAAGGTGTGCACGCATGAGTGTATGCACCCACACACGCACACACACACACACACACCTAGATTTATATATACATACATATACATGGAAAGACAGAGAGAGAGAGAGAGAAAAACAAACACAAATGTGGTCAGTGGCCGCAGGGCTGCCAGGTACACAAACTGCGGGGGCTAGACAGCATAGCGAGGCAGCTGCGGAGGAGAAAATAGGAAGCCAGAGCATGACGAGACCCTGTCTGTAAGAGCAACATCACGGAAGTGCAAGCAGTGAGTTCTCGAGATATGTTGAAACGAGTACCACGTGGAGCGCAATCGAACAACCAACGCGGCAATTGCCATCGCTCGGACTCGCTCGGACGTCCATTCCACGTCCATCGCTGGTTGCTTCGCAAGATGACCCAAGATCCTCCTCGATGGTCCTGGCGACGAATAGGCACACGTCCCAGCGATGCCAAGGCCATTACGACAGACTTTGGCACTTGATGTACATGAAACGGTCACCACGGCAAATGCGCCGTGATACAGACTGTACATGACGCCGTGGCGCATAACACGGTACTCGTGCCGAGGATGGCAGGAGAGGTGAAGGTGCGCTGTACCCGGGCCGAGGGGGGCAGGGGAGGTGAAGGTGCGCTGTGCCCGTGCCGAGGAGGGCAGGAGAGGTGAAGGTGCGCTGTACCCATGCCGAAGGGGGCAGGGGAGGTGAAGGTGCGCTGTGCCCGTGTCGAGGAGGGCAGGAGAGGTGAAGGTGCGCTGTACCCGTGCCGAGGAGGGCAGGTGAGGTGCAGGTGCGCTGTACTCGTGACGAGGAGGGCAGGAGAGGTGACGGTGCGCTGTGCCCGTGCCGAGGAGGCCAGGAGAGGTGAAGATGCGCTGTACCCGTGCCGAGGAGGGCAGAAGAAATGAGGGTGCGCTGTGCCACTGCCGAGGAGGGCAGGAGACGTGAAGGTGCGCTGTACCCGTGCCGAGGATGGCAGGAGAGGTGAAGGTGCGCTGTACCCGTGCCGAAAAGAGGAGGAGAGGGGAAGGTGCGCTTTACTCATGCCGAGGAGGGCAAGAGAGGTGAAGGTGCGCAGTGCCCGTGCCGAGGAGGGCAAGAGAGGTGAATGCGCGCTGTACCCGTGCCGAAGAGGGCCGGAGAGGTGGGTGCGCTGTGTCGGTGCAGAGGAGGACACGAGATCTGAAGGTGCGCTATACCCGTGCCGACGAGGGCAGGAGAGGTGAGGGTGCGCTGTGCCCGTGCCAAGGAGGGCAGGAGAGGTGACGGTGCGCTGATCCCGTGCCGACGAGAGCAGGAGAGGTAAGGGTGCGCTGTGCCCGTGCCGAGGGGGGCGGACTGTGCACGCCCCGCTGGCCTGGCCTGGGGGGCGGGGGGCAATAGTCGCCGATTCTGGGCCCAGGATCAGCCTGGCCAGGGGTGCGACCGCGCACGGCCAGACCAAGGACAGAAGAGCATCCGTCAAGAGCATGAGACCCTCCGCCGCCCCAAAACACCCAAAACCATCAGATCACCTAGGGTACCCTCCCCAAGGATGCACAGGAACATCCAACAAACACGAAGAACATCAGGGTACCGGGTACCCTCCTCGAGCCGACCTCGATCTTACAGTCAGCCCGTATAGCAAGGACGCGCGACAAGGACGCAAGGGTCTTGGAAGGCCATGCCGGCACTCTGCGGGCGGGGCGCGGCCAGCGAAAGCGGCCAAGGATGGGCCGAAGGGGAAGGATACAGTGGCAGCCTTGGAAAGCCGCTCATCCTTACTCTGTTTGAGCTCAACGCCCGCACAGCCTTGGTGAACACAGCAGCGGCGGCTGGGAAAGCGCTGCCGGCAGTGAAGGAGACCTCACTGACCGAAAGGGTTTTCTTTCGGAGAAGGAGAGCGCAGCCACCGGACAATCCACCCACCCGGCGTCAGAGTGAAACGCGCAGGGCTCGAATCAGGCAATGCGATACAAGTCCTCCACGTGCGCACGCCTTGACAAGTGCATCGACCCCGTCGTTCAGACCCCGTCACTGATCGGGAGCGGCCAAGAGGGGGGTGTCCAAGAGGGGGGGGTGCAAATCATGACCGGCGGCATGTGCGCGGCCCAGCGGGGGGGCCAGGGACGTAATGAAAGAAGAAGAGGCGCCATGAAATCTGGGGAAATATCATGGCCCACGCCATGATATCCCCCCCCCCCCCTAGTCATCACCCCCCTCTTTTCCGCCCCCGAACTGACCGAGAGAGTACCTCCAGCAGCCCCATGGGCAAAGGAGGCACAGGCCACACGACGGGCGGCCGCAGAAGAAGACCCCTCAAGAGCACGAGGCCCCCCGTCGGCCAGAACGCACGGGCCATCCGAGGGCCCCCCCCCCGGGATCGGGAGCGGCCAAGAGGGGGGGGGGGGTCCCACAGGGGGGGGGGGGTGCAAAGCATGACCGGCGGCACGTGCGCGGCCCAGCGGGGGGGGCCAGGGACGCGATGAAATAAGGGGCGCCAGGAAATCAGGGGAAATATCCGGACCCACGCCATGATATCCACCCCCCCCTAGTCATCACCCCCCTTTTTTTCTTGGTTGCCCATGAATGCGAGCCGGCAGTGTGTGTGTGTGTGTGTGGCTCCAACACGGCGTGGCCTGATTGAAAGAGCCGGCCTTCTGTAACACTCCGGGGTGTGAGAAGAGTGCTGCACAGGGAGGAACCACCGAGGATGAGGATGAGGTTTTTTCGCCAAATGATCAAGGATGCTCCTTACTAATCCCCGCCGAGAGAAAAAGCACACGTCCGAGCGATGGCAAGATGAAACAAGAAGAGGCGCCAGGAAATCAGGGGGAATCTCATGGCCCACGCCATGATATCCACCACCCCCTCTAGTCATCACCCCCCTCTTTTCCGCCCGCGATCCCTGGGCCCCGAGGCCCCCCCGGGAGCGCTCGTCGCGCGCCCCGATCCCTGGGCCCCGAGGGCCCCCCCTAGTCATCACCCCCCTCTCTGCCGCCCCCCCCCCCTGGGAGGCACGAGGACGCCCCGCAGGCAGGCACGGAGGACGCCCGAGAGGGCCCTCCCCGTGCCGACCTCGAGGTCACCACACCTCGGCCCCCGCCGGCACACCGCGGCCCGACCGCGGCACCAGACTCGCGGACGCCAGGACACTGGACAGTCTTTACCAGCCTCGAACGCATCCTCCTCCTCCTCCTCCTCCTCCTCCTCCTCCTCCTCCTCCTCCTCCTCCTCCTCCTCCTCCTCCTCCTCCTCCTCCTCCTCCTCCTCCCCCCCTTCACTCGCCGCCGATGGAGTTCGACTGGCGTCCTCTGTTACCAGCCTCGAACGTATCCTTATCCCTAAGATTGACACGCCAAAAGGCGAGGACAATCTTAGGGACTCGCCCTCAAAAGATAAGGGGATCCCTAAGATTGGCATCGTGATGAGGAGGTGCCCAGCATAGGGATAGGGATATGTTCCAGGCTGGTGAACTCTAACAGTCCTAGCATTGAATTAAAGATGTGCTTAAAATGTGCCAAGCATGTCAATAACATGTTCCACACATGTCAACATATTAAAAGGTTAAAACCAGATTTGCAACATCGTTTAGACATCTGGGAATGATGTGGCAGCATGCTTCCTCTACAGGAATCGGCTTCCACAACCCCGACCTCGTCGCCTGAAGATCTCCGACGACCCCTGCTCCGCTCCGCCCGGTGTCGGCGGTGGACAAACCTCCCTTTAGTAAACCTCCCCTTGGTGAAAACGGCCTGGGACCGAAACCGACGGACCTGGACCCGCAAACATGACGGCCGCGACGCCCTCTCGCGAACCGAAAACGGAAAATTCCTCAATCGACGCGTCAGGGTAGGAGGTCTGTCCACCCCCGACACGGGAGGGGCCAAGAGGGGGGTGTCCAAGAGGGGGGGGTGCAAATCATGACCGAAGGCATGTGCGCGGCCCAGCGGGGGGGCCAGGGACGTAATGAAATAAGACGAGGCGCCATGAAATCTGGGGAAATATCCTGCCCCCCGCCATGGTATCCACCCCCCACCCTAGTCATCACCCCCCTCTTTTCCGCTCCCGACGACAGCGGCGCTCCCGCTCCTCGACCTCCGCCTGCGGGGGGCCGGGGCCCGGCCCCCCGGGGGGGGGGCCCTCGAGGCACGCCTCGGGGCGGCCGCAGGTCCGCCCCCCCCCCCCCCCCCCCCCCTGTGTGGGTAATGAGGAGGAGGAGGAGGAGGAGGAGGAGGAGGAGGAGGAGGAGGAGGGTAGACTGTGTACTTCGGCCGGGCATGTCCTCTCGGGCCGGGCGAAAGGGGGGGGTAGCAAGTGGCCCGGATCCGCTGGGGGGGGGGGATTGCGATATAGCACATCGAGGAAAAACATATGTTTTTTTCAGACGTTCGCAAGTAGGCACCTTGCAAGTCGTGGGGCGCGCTCGGTGCTTCCTGCAAGGAACGTAGCTGGCCAAGCTGCGCAACAGCCACCCGCACGGTTCGGGTCGGGCGAAAGGGGGGGATAGCAAAGGGGGGGTTTGAGAGTCAGCTCACGCAGCTGATCTTCCCAGCGCCTCCCGGCGCCGGAGGCGCCCACGTATCGAGGAGTGAGCCCCTCGGCGGGGCCGAGATCGGCTGCATGCAGCAGATTTCGTAACCCCCCTTTCCATATCCCCCCCTTTCGTCTGGCCCGATCCTCCCACAGGCGGATCTTGGACAAAAGATTGAACATGGCCCTCCCCAAAAAAGCCAAACACAGTCGAGAGAGAGCACGCACAAATCGTCACCAGACCATCTTTTGACCACTCTTTACTGTTCATCCTGTAGAGGGACGTGCCCGACTTCAGTGTATACCTCGGCCCGACCGTATCATCAGACCTCGTCGCCCGAAGACCTGCGACGACCTGCTCTGTTCCGTCCTGGCGTTTCTGCTCCTCGACCTCCGCCTGCAGGAGCCCGGGTAGTTGGGGTCGGAGGATTGCACCGCACCGCCGATGCATCGGCGATGCATCGGCGACACCGGCGTGGAGAAGATCGATCTCCACATCGGGCCGCACCGCCGATGTCTCGGCGGTGCGGCGCGATCCACCGACCCCGTCTACTCGGACCCCATCTGGGAGGCCCAGAGTTCCTCGACCTCCGCCTGCAGGGGCCGCGGCAGGGCCCCTCGGGGCCAATCGAGGAACGCCTCGGGGCGGAGTGCCGCTCTGGCTGCCTGCCCCTCGGGGGGAGGGGGCAGGTAACCAGACTCGAGCGATATCGACACAGCGAGCTGTAGGAAAACACGAACCACGCGTTCCTACAGCTTGTTCGGCCACGAACCACGCTTTCCTACAATTGGTCTTCTCACATCGCCATGAGCTAACACACCGTCTGGGGATCAGGATCTGCGGCTGACCATGGACCACTCGAGGCTTGGCTTGACCATGGGCCACTGAATCCTGGAACACCAGATGAGGCTTGACCATGGATGCCACAGCCACCGTCATCAGATGATGAGTCCTCCAAGGTGTAAAGCCTCCTGGGTACATTCATCAACTGACGCCCCTACCGTATTCTCCAGGACTAGCTTTTCATCCTGAGTCGTTTCTTGACCGGTCCCAGGGCCCGGCGAGGGCCCCCTCGAAGGCCAAAAACAGCAAGAAACCTTCCGTGATTTTTCCGCGACGCGAAAGGGGGTCTTGGGGAAACAAAAGGGTACCGATACCGCTGCTCCCCAGACCTCTCCTCGGGTGCGTTCTGACGAGAATTTCCGGGCGAATCCAGCCCGCCGTTGCGATGAGGGCCTCACAGGAGGCCCCAAAAGGGGAAAACGACAGAAGGGTAGCAGTATGGCTACCTTTTTTCCTCCCCAGACGTCCGACGTCTCGATTTTTTCGAGACACGGGCCCCCGACCTCCCGACCACTTCCCCGGGACCGGGTTTTCACCCCGAGTCGTTTTTTGACGGTCCCGAGGCCCGGCGAGGGCCCCGAGAGGCCGAAAACGACGAAAAAACTCCGTCTCGATTTTTTCGAGACGCCCGATGTCTGGGTCCTCCGAGGGCCGGGTCTGGCAACGCCCCGTCTCCTCGAGGTGGCCGCCCGCGCCTGCCCACAGCGCGCACGCGCGGGCGAGCAGCCGGGCGGCGGCACTGTAGCGCCTCAGCCGGCGCAGCGTGCTGGCGGCCTCGACCAGCGTGGAGATCTGCTCGCTGGGGTCCGCTGGCCCCCCCAGATGGAGGCAGCAGGCCCAGACATCCAACGGCAGCGCCAACGAAAAAATCAAGGCGGAGGCTTCCCGCCGTGATCTGCCTCCGGGGGCCCTCGAGGGGCCCTGGGACCAGCAGATAAGGGCTCGGCACAGAAAACCGGCCTTGGGGGAAGGGTCGGGACTTCCGGGGACCCCGTGTTGAACAAATCAAAACATCGGATCTCTGCGGAGGGGCCTAGATAGTGAACAAAAAAAAGCAGGACAGAAGGCCTTTGGCACTTTTCAGCCTCTGGGAACCCTCGCCAGAGGCCCTGGGAACATCAAACAAGTGTTTGGGGTGAAAACTAAAGACCTTTAGGCGTCCACGATGCGAAAAAACACGCGCAACCTCGGGGGCTTCGGTTCGGGAGGATTGCTTTGGTTCGATCCTTGCGTTTCCCTTCATGCAAGCGGGGCTGTTGAGCAAACGCAACTAAGAAGGGAACCGAACGGGGCAAGATGTTCAGTAGACACCCAGGACACTTGAGTTGACGCCAGTTCTGGGGTTCGGGTTTTTTCCTCCCTTGGCAAGCTCGGCCCAGACTTCAGGCGGCTTGTTTTTGTTCCTTCATGGACGCTTCTTACCTTCGTGTTGGTCCCCGAACCATGTGGAGCACCACGACATTATACAGCACCACGGCAAACCGCGTGGCGGAGCCGGGCGCCGCTTGGCGAACGGAGTCGAGCGTTACGCTGGTGCCCACATCGACAGACTTGGCCGCTACGCTGAGTTCTAGCCTCACGGAGGCGAGCAGCCCCATGGCGTCCACCACGACGAGCTCGACCACTGCACCACATCGCTACTATCCCGCACTGCGGAAAATTCGCGCCGCAGCACTGGCATTGCAGGCAGCCACCTCGGCAGCGCCAGTCGCGGCCAGCCTCACTGCCAGCAGCACCGCTCGTAGAAGCACCAGGGTATCCAGCAGCACCGTGAAATTAGCTTACCAAGGACAGACCAATCGCGCGGACTCCGCCAAATCCCGGATAGGTTGGTACAGCCAAATAAATGCATGGGCTGGTCTAGGAACTTCGACGGCGGTTCTGTGACCACCTGAGGCCAGCAGCATCGCACGCAGCCTGTTTGGACCACTTCAAGCCGTCAACTGTTCCTTCAGGTCGTTGCGCTGGGGAAACAGAGGCACCACACGCAGCAGGTCCGACGCAACTTACAGCGCCACTCGCAGCAACACCAGTTCACCTAGCAGCTCCAATACGAGCCAGTCGGCTAAGCCAACTGGCCCCCGGTCAGCAGTACCAATGGGACCAGGAGCACCAGCTCAACCACGATGGCCAAGACCAGCGGCACCATACGCCGCAGCGCCAGCTCAACCAGCAACACTACTAGCAACAACACGAGTACGTCCAGCGGCACCAGCGAGAATAATACCGCGTCATTGACATTCGCGGCCACTTCCTACGTGGACTCACATTATGTTGGTTGCTGACCAGTCTGGCCATGAAGCGGGGCCGCAGGACATAACCAGTCCGGCGCAGGGCTCTTGGCCTGCCAAGGCATCCGCAGACATCCACCGTCTGATCGAGTGGGGTGTCATGCACTCTGGCGATGACCTGCGCTGTGGGTACCTGCGGCACGACGCTGAGCAGCATCCAGAAGTACTGCAGCACTTGTTGGAACGGGCCCTCCGACGGTGTCCACCATGACGGGGTCGGCGCTGCAGCTTGCTCTCCACTCTGGAGTCTGTACCTCGTAGAGCTCTTCGGTACGATGAGCTAGAGGAATTCAAGCGCAGGGTGCAGCTAGTAGCTCGTGGAACTCTTCGGTGCGATGAGCTTGAGGAATTCCCGGATAGCTCCTTGTGAGAGCTAAAAGGCTGTTAGAGAAGAAGCCAGCCGACAGGGCTACGCCAGCTCCTCTCCGCAGCTCCTGGGCTGGCATCCCCGCAGCGGACTGCTTGACCCCGCAGCGTGTTTCGTTCCCTTTACGCGAGCCCGAAGCCTCCGCGTGAAACGTCTCCGCAGCACCTGGGAAGCTTTCTTCTCCAGACCTTGCGAGCCGTCCAGGCATTCCTTCCGAGTTTCCTGCGAAGAGAGAGACCCCCGCGAGCTGACGAGCACTCCAGGGAAGCTTTCGAATGCTGCGTGGTGTGACCGGGCCAGCGGCGATGACCTGGAGCAGAACTGGGCGGCCCGGGGGATACATACCTCGTAGACCTCTTCAGTACGATGAGCTAGAGGAATTCCAGCGCGGGGTGGAGCTGGTTGACGAACCCGGCCAGAAGAGACACTGTGCGAACTTTGGGCCGGTTGGGCGAACATTGTGAGAGATTTGAAAGTTCGTTTTACGAAAACGTACATCGTAGAGCTCTTCGGTGCGATGAGCTAGGGGAATTCGGGCGCAGGGTGAAACTAGTTGACCGACCCGGCCAGGGCGGTCAATGTGATGACCTGGGGTCGTTTGGGCGAAGATGGTGAGAGATTTGACAATTCATTTCGAGAACACGTATTTTTCTCACCTGTAGTAGGTTATGCCGCGTCCGCCGATAAATATTTCAGGTCCGTAGCTGCAGTTGTCTCTGCTGCGACGCCTGTTTTGGGATGTGTTCTCAAAAGGGTCTGAACTCCCTGTGGCCTTGTCCAACAGCGCTGCGCGTGTGATCGGTGGGCAGACGATTCACAGCGCTTTCGGGTTGAGCGCGCAGCAGTCTCTGGCTCGACCAGCTCTCGCGACAGAAGGTGGACAATGATTTCGTCGATCGCATGAACGATGTGGAGGCCGTCGTCGTCGAGGAAGTGTCCATGGTGCCGCCAGCGCTTCTCGGCGCGGCCTCTTACCGCATGTGCAGAGCTCGCAGGGCACAGTAGGGCTGCGACGTGGATCTGTACATGGAGCGGGGTCACATGTTTGGTAAGGCTGAAAGGGCTCCAGGACACACAAATAAATACACACAAATAAAAATATTTAAATAAAAAATAAAAAGATGTTCTGGGTTTCTGTCTTCCCCCCCACTTCCCATATTTTCCCATATTTTCGGGGGAATCGAGGATTAATTGTGTCTGTGTGTTTCTTTTCCTCCTGAAAGGCGCCAATAGTCTTACTTCTGGGTGACTTCTACCAGCTGGGCCCCGTTGCCGCCGGGCAGGGCAGGCGGTCGTCCCTCCTGGCTCGCGTGGAGCCCATATGGAGTCAACGAGCACGTTCGAAAAGGGCAAACAATATTTCTCCACTGCGTGAATCGTAGTATGTTCTTGTGTCGAACTCATCGCTTCATGGATCGCCTTGTCACGCCGCCCATGCCCTGCAGCTTCATGCCTGGATTCCTGGAGTCTGTGCGGAAGGGATGCGCGCTCACGCCTCAGCAGAGGAAGGTGGTCCGGAGCTGGGTGGTGCGGCCAGGTGGAAGTGACAAACGGCTGAAGCAGCGGGGAGTAGGCGATGGGTTCGAGATGGCCACCGGATGGGAAGCTGTGCATCGGCACACGCAGTACCGGGCCGTGCGTGAGGCGAAGGAGAAGGGGCAGATGCTGCTCTACGTGCAGGCCGTGGATGTGCCCACCGTGGAGTGGAGTGAGGCGTGGCAGCGCCGGGGCCGATGTCTCTCAAGAGACACGTCACTGCCGCGCGGGCCGGACTGGCAGACTTGCGGCCGGGTGCGGGGACGCGGTGCTGCCGAGACTGCTGCGCTGGGGGCCATGAGCGGGTCCTCCTCCCTCTTTTCCTCCTCGTCTTCCTTCTCCTCCTCCTCCTCCTCCTCCTCCTCCTCCTCCTCCTCCTCATGCTGCTTTCAATTTGCCATCAAGTTCAGCGCACGCAGCTTTTCCTCCATAGCTTAACTGCGAACCCGTGCGCGCCGAGGGCTGCTCTGGCGTCTGTTTCGCACGATGGTGCCGTCGGCAGAGGAGAGCCGGGCCTCTCATTCCCGACGACTGTTGTCTCCGAACAGGGCTCGACGGCTACCTCCCCCCCGTGGAGGGTGACACGCTCGAACAGCAAAGTCATGTTTGTCCGCCCTAGGGGGGCATTTTCGCGCCCCGAGACCATCAGAGATGGATCAGAGACCGAGAGCTACCCCTGGGGAAGACGCAGGGACCTCAGAAACCCCGCATATCAAGAACAACTATCTATCGGATGTCTGAGGAGGGAAGAGGAGGATGAGAAGAGGGAGGAGGAAGAAGACCAGAATAAGCCCAAGATGCATCAACGATGCTGCAATACACCCCTCCCGTCCCAAGACCACTCCCCATGAGTCCAAACAGGCCTTCCACTTCAATGCAACAAACGCCCCCTTGAAAGGCCAGCATCCAATGGGGCTGCCATTAGGGCGAAAGCCCCGTTTCGAAAAGCACCCGCATGCATTCGGTTCGGTGACGCGTAATTCGGAATGCGAGCAGTATGATCACACAGTTCAACGAGATGTCCAGCGAGATCGCCATTTTCAACGAGGACTGCCCCCCATCTGTGCAAGTGTTGTACACGTTCACACCTCTGGTCGTGCACGTCGTGGGAGTCTCCAGCAGGAGCTCCCATTTTGAAAAGGAGCCGCCCTCCTTCCGTGCAGCTGCTACATGTGTTCACGTTCCTGGTTTTTAAATATGTGGAACTACTACTACTATTACTACTACTACTACTACTACTACTACTACTACTACTACTACTACTACTACTACTACTACTGGGCGAAAGCCCCATTTTGAAAATGGATTGTCCTTCATCTTTCTAGCTTCCGCATATTTTGCAACAGGAATGCGCGCAGCGCTGAAGAAGACACCCAACTTTCAAAGGGAAATGCCCTCCAGAGTTGGCCATGTTGCAAGCTCTTGCGTCAAATGTGCGCTGCGCTAGGGCGAGAGCTCCGTTTTGATACCACCGGTGTTCCATCTCTGTAGCTGTTACCACCCTTTTAAACGAATGAGGGCGGAGCTATAAGGCGAGAGATCCATTTTGAAAACCACCCCCTCCATCCAGGTAACTCTTGCAAGCTTTTGAAACAATGTGCGCGGCGCTGGTGCGAAAAATCCGATTGAAAATGAACCACCTTCCAGAATTGTAAATGCTGCAAGTTGTTTAAACGAACCCGCGCGGCACTACGGCGAAAAACGCGTTTGGATATCATATGTGCTCCATCCCTTCAGCTATGACCAGCTTTTGAAACGAATGTGAACTTTGTTAAAGCGAGTGCTCCATTCAAGAACGACCTCCCGGCATCCTTGCAGCTGTTGCAAGCTTTAAAGAGGCGGCGGTGAGACTGAAACCCCATTTTGAAAAGGAACCACCCTCGACACAGCCGACAATATGATCAAGAACATAGCCATTCAAGACATCTGGGCCAGCGTACCGAGAGTTTCTCAGAACAAACCTGGGCCAAGTTCTGTTGCTGATGCTGGAGGGGCGGACGTGCTCAAGAAACTGGGCCAGCTTTCCAGCAAGCTGGTGAAGAAACGCTGTCCCAGCTTTTCGGGAGGAGGGCTTTTTGAAAACAAATCATGTTCGCCTCTCGTGTGATTGCTGCGGCACTTATTGTTGTGCTCCATCCCAGCAGCTGATGCAAGCTTGTACTGCGAATGTGCGCGACGGTACGGCGAGAGCACCAGTTTGAAAACGGCCCGCCTCCATCCTTGTAACTGTTGCCAACTTAGAAGACGAGCATGCTCAGAGCTAGCGAGAGGGCCACACGTTGAAAACTACCAGTGCTACATCCCTGTAGCTGCTGCAAGCGTGAAAGCGAGGACTCCTGGAACTGTGGCGAGAGTTCAATTTTGAAAACGACCCCCGCTCCATCCGTGCAAATGTTGCAAAATTCCAGGCGGCACGTCCGGCCCGCCCTATAGACACGCCTGCGGGATCGACAGGGAGGAGTTAGATACAAAGAGGAGGGATATGAGCCAGCGTAGGCCTCAAACAGTAAGTTCTTGCACTGTGGATGCGCGAACTCTGCGGTGCAAGCTATGGGGTGCGATCTGTGTGATGCAAGCTATATGGTGAACGCTATGCAGTGCTATCTAGGTGGTGCAAGCTATGTGGTGCAAGCTATGTGGTGCAAGCCATGTGGTGTAAGCTATGTGGTGTGGGCTATGTGGTGTGGGCTATGTGGTGACGCGGCAACGGGGCGGCAACGATGCGAAACGTCAGCGGATCCGCCCTGCGCACGAGGCGGCCACGAGGCGGCCATCGGCGGCAACGTGGTGACTCCTCGCTGGACCTATCCAAGCCCGTAGTGACGCAAGTAAACCACTCCACTCCACTGGACCCAGGAGCGCGAGAAAGTTACGACAGTTGCGCAGTTCGCAGCCCCACCAGGGAGCCGCGAGGTCGAGGAGGAGGAGGACGAGGAGGAGGAGAAGGAGGAGGAGGAGGATGAGGATGATGATGAGGAGGAGGAGGAAGAAGAAGAAGCACCGTTCGGGGAATGGAGGAGGCACGGGACGAAGCAAATGCCGGGACGCAAAAAATTGCAGAAACATAAACCTTCGGAGCTCCGCGCGGATCTCGTGGGTCGGCGTGGGGACCCCCCTGGCGGCGCTTCCGGCGCCGCCACTGGCGCGATCCGCGCGGCAGAGAGGGGGGCCCATCGCCGATCCAAGAGAGCCGCGCGGGCCTCCGAAAAACTACGTTTATGTTATACACGTCGGTCGGAAGAAGTGGGTAGAAGCATGTAGTAGGAAGGCGCTGAACGTGGATTGGCTATCCGCCCGCCCCCTGAAGGGGAGGGGAGAGGGAGAAGCCGCTCGACCCTGAAAGTAGGAAAGCGCCTAAAGTAGACTGAGATCTGGGAATCCAGACATTCCTGCCTTCAACGACCGACGGGCAATCTGAACCCCGAAGTAAGAAGGAGGCAGAGGGACAAGCACGTGACCACGAGGAGATGGCACCCCTGCTGCAGGGCAACGATAGGGGGCGGGGACTGGCAAGGGGGGAGGGGCGACATCACCCTGGAAGCGGCGAGACATCGCCGACGGATAGACATCGCCGACAGGTCCGCCGACCGCCGCACGTTCCCGGGCGGGCCCCTGTCTCGGGAGAGCAGAGAAGCTACCCCCAGAACGAGCACCCCGACGAGCGACGCCGTGTAGCAGACGCGCCCCAAGGAAGGCATCGAACAGGGCAGGGCTGCTCAGGAAACGCCCGGGGCCGTTTCGCAAACGCCAGTCTTCGGGGTCAGGGTGGTCGTTCCTCCCTCGACCATCGGCGATCCATGGGCGGGTGGGGGTCGAGGCATCCTCCCCCTGAGAGCCTGCCCGCCCCCCCTCCCCCGCCCACTCCGGAGACCACTGCGGGGCTGGAAAATGACCACAGCCACTGCTTCTTGTTTGCGCCACCTCCCAGCCGGCCGGAAATGAAGCAGTGGTTGTGGTCATCTCCCTGGTGCCAAGCGTCACGAAACTGACCACAACCACTGCTTTGCTTCTGCTGGCTGGAAGTCGGCAACAAAAGAAAAGCAGTGGCTGTGGCCGTTTCCACGCCCCGTTACCAAAATCGGGGATGGGCAGACCTCCCTTTAGCAAAACGTGGTCTAGCGAAAACGACCCGAGGCCCAAACCTGGCAGGCGCAAGCCTGGAAAATACCGGCCGCGGCGCCCTCTCGAGGACCGAAAACGGACAATTCACTAATCGACGTGTCACTGTTGGGGGTTCTGTCCACCCCGTAACCACGCCCGCGACGCGTGGGGCCCCGCCTCCTCCGCCCCTTAAAGCCTTGAGCGCAGGAGCCCCCCGCAGGCGCGCCCCGCCCGCCGGGGGGGGGGGGCTTCAGCGGCGGACGCCCGCGGGCGGCAGCCCCCGCCGGACACGGCCGCGGGGCGCACCTCCCAGGAGGAGGAGGAGGAGGAGGAGGAAGAGAGGAGGAGGAGGAGGAGGAGGAGGAGGAGGAGGAGGAAGAGAAGGAGTAGTGGGAGGAAGGAGGAGCAGGAAGAGGAGGAGGAGGAGGAGGGCACAGGGGCTCGTCGATGAGCATCAGGCGCAGCACGCTGCCGCACACGGGCCCGGCGAGCGCGGCGGCGGCGCCCGAGGCCGCGGCCTGGGCTCCGAGGCC